TATACTGTATAAAAACATGCTTTTTGATATATGTTTATCCATATTATTAGTTATTAGATAATACAGTAATCTGAGTTATGAGTAATATTTTTACCACAATTAATGTGTTCAGTATAACTCGATATATCATTAATTTTGGACATAATGTTTGAGTCCTTTATAATCCATTGGTTACGGCTATCATTGCAATCAAAATAATCGCTATTAATGTTCACTGAATTTCTTTGATTAGATGTGAAAAACCCTTTGAATGCCTTCTCGTCCAAAATACTCCACATTTTTGTACACTTTTTGGACCCATTTTGTTCAATAGACGGTCTTTGCATAACTGTCATAAGGACTGGTCGTCCTAAATGACTGAGCGATTTGGCATCAAATGCTCAACTATTCAGATATGGATTATCTATAAAACTCAGAAATAATGCATCGCTTGTGGGACTAAATGTTAGCCAACTTTCGTGAATACTTGTGATAGCCGTCTACTCAATGGTTAAGTCCCGCAATGAATTCAATCCAAAGAAAACTTTGTCACTAATTGTTGTCAAATGTGTGCCCGAAATATGAATCCGTTTTAATTTATTGAGTCCATTGAATGCATTTCTCGGGATTTGTGTTAATTTGATGTTATCTAATGCAACATGCACAATATTAGGCATATTTCTAATAATGGCGAATATATCGGTGCCAGTGTTGGCACTATGATCCAAGTTAGGTGTGTCCCAAATGGTTAATGTGTCCAGGTCCAACCCCTTAAAGGCATTCATATCAATCACTTTCAATGTGTTATCGGAGCCAAAGATAACACTTTTGAAAGTAATGTCTCCGAAAGTGTTGGCATTAATACGCGGGATATGAGTACCCCTCACATACAGCTTCTTAAATGATTTTTGATTTTGTGATAGATTTTTGCTCAAATTAACAAATATTGGAGCAAGGTCAGTGATGGAACTATCGTTATATTTTAAGGTTAACGTATTATACTTCAACTTATCGGGGGTACACCAACACGGCTCCAGTAGTTTAGGTTCCGGGCACTTGACTGTAATTTCACAAAAGCTTAAATTAATGGTAGATATAATAAAACAAATAATTTTGTTTAATTAACAAAAAATATTTTTAGGATATCATCGATGCGACCAAAAAGAAGACCTCCTGTTTGGGTGGGGATCAGCCCACCTCTGAAAACTGTCTATACGTCAACATATGGGCGCCCCATAACATCACAACTTTAAAACCTGTTATGTTTTGGATATATGGCGGAGGTTTCAGAGGGGGCTCTATATTCTCGGACATGTATAACGGCAAGTCGTTGGCCTCCTATGATGTCGTGTATGTGGCCGTGGATTACAGGTTGGGCTCATTGGGCTTCCTATACGGTGGCGATGATGAGGAGACCCCCGGGAATCTGGGACTTTTGGATCAACTCGAGGGGTTAAAATGGGTATGTATTGCAAATCTATTATATTACCTGAAATATAGACATTTGAAGTATTATTGACTATTGATGAGGGTAGATTACAGAAAAATGAACAGAAATAAATATTTATAAAAGTTATCCAATTATAAAAATTAATCTATATGAATGTGAATATATGGGTAAACAATAAAATATAGTTAAACACATTTAATTTAAAGTTAGTAATGATTTTAATAGTGATTAGGAATCAGTTTTGAAGGTAACTTTAAGAGCAATTCCAGTATCATTTATACTTACAATATAATCATTCAAAACTGTACTAGACAAAATACTTGTTTTCTAAATGTTACGATTTATGATAATAATATGGACTACAGGTGCGAGAAAACATTCATCTGTTTGGTGGAGATAAGGATAAGATAACGATATTCGGTCAGAGCGCCGGTAGTATCTCAGTATCGGCTCTTGTATTATCTCCACTGGCGAAAGGGCTGTTCGCGAGGGCTATACTAGAGTCTGGCGCTCAGCTCCACAACCGGAAGGAAACTCATACTAAAGCCCAGGCATTAGTCGAGGCCAAGGAAATGGCCAAACATTTCAAGTGTACGGACGATAAGACGTGGTTAGAGTGCCTGCGAAAGGTTGACGCGAATGAGATCCACGCATACACTCAGCTAACTGTAGGTCCCCTCGTGGGCACCGCCTATTTGCCACTCACGGCACAGGAGGCGTTCAAAGATGGAAAGTATAATACAGGTCAGTGTCTGTGAAATCGCCATTTAAGAATTTGATTGTATCGATCATTACATCTGATAAAAAATGTATGTTTTTGTGTCCAGATGTGGATCTGATCGCTGGTGTAACCCGTAATGAGGGCTCATCTCAAATCAAAGGCAATATGACTGAAGAGGTATTCATTAATGCCATCAAAGGACGCAATTTTGGTGACATTAGTTTGGGTGAAGTGTTGGCCTTTTATCTCAAAGATGTTAAAAAGGATGACTACGCGGCCTATCGGTGGGCATACTATGACCTGAATGGCGATATGGGTCTGAAGTGCAGTACATATCTCTTCGCCAAACAAGTGGCCCAACACTCGACCACAAGGAATGTCTACTTCTATGAACTCACGTATCAAAGTGGCGGTCATTTGCAGGGATGTGATGAGCAGACAATGGGTATATGCCATGGATCTGATCTCGAGTTCGTGTTCTACAGGACTGGTGCCACCCCTCAACTTGACCTACCATTCAGTAAGGAATGGATGAGCTATTGGACTAATTTCGCAAAAACTGGGTATAAATTAGTTGTTTGTTTGAAATGAGGATTTGTATTAATTGTCATTATTTGTGATATGAAGTGTTCCCACGACTGACGCCAAATGGCCTAAACTTGTGAACAAAGCCGAAGAATACAAGATATCGAGGTTTAAGGACATGAATCCATACGACTTCAGCAAAATCCTGGTCGACCCCTTTAAGAGGGCTTGCGATGAGTTTTGGGGAAAATATTTTGAATAAGTTAATTATGACATTTAATTGTAGTTATATTCATTAGCATAAATTATATTGAAATTAAGATAATTATTTCAAAAAATAATTTGTTTAAGTTATACGATAATCAATTAATAATTAATAATTATCAAATACAAATATAAAAATAAAAGTTTTCTATTTTTATTTCTAAACATAAGCTTTAATGATAAGAAATTGCGACAAATATTTAATCATTTAACAAATCAATGTAAACATAAACAAAATAAAGTATACTTTGATCAGGCAGGACTTTAGGTTGATAATCGATTTCGCATTAAATACCTAGCTCATAGCTTATTAACATTTGAGTCCACAAGATCTACACTGTAGGATATGTAGATTCTACAGCCTGTAGGCTACAGGTGATTAAAATAGCTCCAAATTACTTAGAAATAGCTTAAAATTGATGTACATATATGTACATGTATATATTTAAATGTTTTTCATCATTTGGTAGCATTCATTAGTTGTTGAGTTTGGGTATACAGTAGATTAATACAAAAGTTTAAACAAAAATATTTTATAAATTATTTCATTCCAATTAAGTTTAACTTACAAATTGTGTACAAAACTAGCTATTAGTTTGAAACTTCATAACTAATGCATATCACGGCCACAATGTCTAAGAGATATATCAACATTTTGTACAAAACGGGATCATCAAGCAAATTTTATCTCGAGTATTACGTGAACTCCGGTCTCAACACAATCAGAGACTTGAAGTCTGAACTCAACAAAAGCAACGACTTTTGCGAAGAGACCGACAAATTGCTGGTCAAACACTTGGAGACCATCAATGGTCTGACCCGTAGTTATACGGTTCCCATCGGCGATGACTATCCCATTGATCGGCTCATTGACGGGACGTTCCTTCAAATGAATCCCAAATACAATGAACTCAATTCATCGCAACTTAAGTATGAATGAAGGCTTGAATTAATAATTAATTGTTTGACAACTTTTGTATTCATTTATTGTATTTTTTTGTATAAATAGATTGAATGAAGAATTGGTCAAAAAGTTGAGAGATATGTCCGAAGAGATCAATGGTTTGACTGAAGAGGTGTCAGCTCTGAAGGCATCCAAACATACCATTGAGACGGAAGTGAAGGCATTGAGAGAAGAGATAATTGCTTTGAAGTCCGGATTTGTCTCGTAATTGATATAAAAAATAGTTTTAAAATGTTATTAATAAGTATTTATTACATAAAATAGAGGTTTAGAGACTAACTGTACTTCTGATGGAAAGGGATCACACAATCCATTGAACACCACATCAGACCCGACATCGCATGAGAAACATGTCATCGAAATGTTGACACAAGTCTTGAATGAGTGCCAAAAGACAAACCGGTTATTGGATGAGGAGAAGGATAAGGCGTTGACAGCACTCGAGGGGATCCAACAGGTGATGGACAACACGGACACTGAATCCAAAGCAAGTGACGACACGAGACTATTAACTGAAGACAACATTCAAACAAAAAGCCCTCAAATGAGTGACAATGTCGTGGACAAGGAGTCTGTGGTGAACACCTCAACGTAAGCATCGATTGTCTCATTAATGTTACCATCAATTCATTTATTTAATGTTTTTGATAACAGGTCTTCAGATGAGACGGTGACCCAGAATACCAGTTATGTTATCGATACTAACGTAGAGACCATTGAAAGTGAATTTCAATTAATTGAAGCACCGGACAGGTATGTTGTGGATTGGGATATAAATATATTTTTTATTTTACTGATTATATATTTTTGATTTCAATTAATAGGTCCTCCGCTCAAGAGTTGTTGGATGAGAGGCTGATCACAGAAATTACAATTGACTGAATGAATGGCCCTTTTATTGGAGTAGTTTTATTGATTTCAAAACGATTTAAGATTTAAATTATTATTCATGATTTTTTTATGGAGACTTTATTTACATTTGAACATATTATTTTTATTGCAAACATTTTTTTGAATTTTATGAATAACATTATTCAATACTTTATTTGAATTTGAATCCTTTTTGTATAACATTATTTTACTGCTAATAATTTACATGTTTTTATTGAATTAATAATAATGATTCATTATTAATGAAATTATTTTTAATAAAATTAGTTTTAAATATATAAATAAAATAATTCATTGAGTAATATTTGTCGCACAATCAGATACGGGTAAAGTTATAATCAATAAAATGAAGTTATCCGTAACCTTTTAAAATTTTTAATTAATAAGTAAGTAAATCATAAACAACTTTATTTAGTTAACTGTTTAAGCAAGTTAATTACAAATTACTTAATGACTTACTTTTTAACGTTTAATATGTTATATTATTTACCTTTTAAAATGTAAGTTATGTTTGATCAACTTTATTTATTAGACATTTGTTAACAATTTATAAAATAATCAAATATTATATACTATACTAGTTCATTGTACAGAATATCTCTGTATTACATGGATAATTACATTTTGTTAAATAACTGTTTGAAAATATTAATAATTTGAAATTATAAAAGCATGCATATGTCTAAAGATATATCAAAAAGCATTTACTGTATATAAAATTCTTATTAAACTTTTATAATGAATTTCCCTGAAATGATCGTGCTTATTCATTATAAAAGTTTAATAATAATTTTATATATAGTAATGCTATTTATAATATACTGTATAAAAACATGCTTTTTGATATATGTTTATCCATATTATTAGTTATTAGATAATACAGTAATCTGAGTTATGAGTAATATTTTTACCACAATTAATGTGTTCAGTATAACTCGATATATAATTAATTCTGGACATAATGTTTGAGTCCTTTATAATCCATTGGTTACGGCTATCATTGCAATCAAAATAATCGCTATTAATGTTCACTGAATTTCTTTGATTAGATGTGAAAAACCCTTTGAATGCCTTCTCATCCAAAATACTCCACTTTTGTGTACATTTTTTGGACCCATTTTGTTCAATAGACGGTCTTTGCATAACTGTCATAAGGACTGGTCGTCCTAAATGACTGAGCGATTTGGCATCAAATGCTGAACTATTCAGATATGGATTATCTATAAAACTCAGAAATAATGCATCGCTTGTGGGACTAAATGTTAGCCAACTTTCGTGAATACTTGTGATAGCCGTCGACTCAATGGTTAAGTCCCGCAATGAATTCAATCCAAAGAAAACTTTGTCACTAATTGTTGTCAAATGTTTGCCCGAAATATGAATCCGTTTTAATTTATTGAGTCCATTGAATGCATTGCTCGGGATTTGTGTTAATTTGATGTTATCTAATGCAACATGCACAATATTAGGCATATTTCTAATAATGGCGAATATATCGGTGCCAGTGTTGGCACTATGATCCAGGTTAGGTGTGTCCCAAATGGTTAATGTGTCCAGGTCCAACCCCTTAAAGGCATTCATATCAACCACTTTCAATGTGTTATCGGAGCCAAAGATAACACTTTTGAAAGTAATGTCTCCGAAAGTGTTGGCATTAATACGCGGGATATGAGTGCCCCTCACATACAGCTTCTCAAATGATTTTTGATTTTGTGATAGATTTTTGCTCAAATTAACAAATATTGGAGCAAGGTCAGTTATGGAACTATCGTTACATTTTAAGGTTAACGTATTATACTTCAACTTATCGGGGGTACACCAACACGGCTCCAGTAGTTTAGGTTCCGGGCACTTGACTGTAATTTCACAAAAGCTTAAATTAATGGTAGATATAATAAAACATATGATCAATGCAAGCATTTTGGATAATAATTTCATTATCAACATCAAAAGCAATTTAATTTTTATAATATAAAAAATTTTAAACCTGTTCCCTTTATATAATTTTAAATATGTTGTAATTACCTAGCTGGTTAAACAAACCTATTATACGAATTTAAATTTTATACGCACATCAGTTGCTATATAATAATCAAATGTATTGACAGCATTAACTAAAATCAAAATTACGTCAAATAGCACTTTTGCACTAAAATTATTTCTAAGAATTTAGACATATACATTTATATAGACATATATATGGCTATTATACATTTTTATTTACATAAGTGGTATCTCATTAGACTCATTGTGACCTACTTTGTGGATGACGCCTTAAATAAAAACTAAACTCTTACTGTAATTGTTATCATGGTTTTGATCAATGGGTTATCGTCAGAGCTGCGATCGGTTGTGTGTTTTAACCAAATATAGAGGTTTCTTCACGCATAATAGATTTTACAAAAGTTTTTATATGAAACATGAAATACTGTATAATGTATAAAAATAATTTTAATATTTAAAAATATGGTTATAATTTGTGAAACAAATTAACTAAATATTGAACAAAATTAACTAAATAGTAAACTAAGTTAACTAAATTAGCTTAATTGTGATCTAAATTAACTAAATAGTTAACAAAATTAAATAAATATTGAACTAAATTAGCTTAATTGTGAACCAAATTAACTAAATAGTTAACAAAATTAAATAAATATTGAACTAAATTAGCTTAATTGTGAACTAAATTAACTAAATAGGTAACAAAATTAATTAAATTGTGAGCCTATTTTCTAAAATTATAACCATACTTTAAAATATTAAAATTATTTGTACATTATTTATATCCATTGTATGGTAATACTGTATTCAAACTGGTTATTGCCAAAACAATGTTTTCCACAATAGAATTTTATGCGTGACTATACTTTTGTTGCTCACAACGGATCGTAGCTCTGGTTATAAATATAATTTTGAAGTACTTGTGAAATAAAAATTTTTATGAAATAAATTGCATTTTTATTTTAACAATAGTTTTTAACCAATAAGTTATTGAGTACTATTTCTCACACAATGTATGTGCTCATTTAATGACTTTAAATTTTTTATAAATTTTAATTAATTGGATAAGAACTGCATTAAATAGATGTTTAAAATACTTTTTACCGATTTTGGCTAAGACTCATAACAAAAAACTTATTAAA